ACTGCTACTTCTTACTCAACCTTATTACTTGATTCAACGAAACAAGTTTAAAAGATGGTCGTATTTCTCTGAAGTTAAATTACCTGCCATTTCGACGCTGACGAAAGTGTGATTATTGATACATTACATATCAAAACTGTTACTACCCACAGACCAATCGATAATATAATTAAAAAGATTTGCTGGGCTGAAGCTTTCTATAAACACGAATAATTGATCTCCTATTATGTGTTTTTCTTCCTCTCAACACAATTTATTCACGTCCTCATCAAAGAAACTTGCCATTTTATCTGCGAAGTAAGAACATATTAGTGCTCATTTCTTGAGGAAAATGCCGTATAGCATTTCTACAAAACGGAGATAACGACATCCATTTGGCCTCAAAACAGTTTAAATAACAATAGTATGTCAATGTTTGTTTAGTTCTAGAGCTCTATAGTTCTTGTCATATGCATAAACTCTAGCATAATCCAAACTTTACAGAATGGAAGTTTCATATCTTATAAAAACATCTCACTGTTCACTATAACATGGACGCGTGGCTTTTGTTGCTGCAGTTATGAAAGTGACCTCTCCAAAGCTCCTTATCGTCTTTCAGTACTATCTCATAGCTTGCACATATTACCTATTGAAAAAAAAAGTAAATTAGAATTGTCTCAAATTCCAAAAGATTCCGATTATGGCTTTAATCTCGCTCTTGGACATTGCCATAGCTTATTTTGGGTGTAGCAAATATGGTAATCACTTGCTCATTCGTTACTTATTTTCATTACAAGATTGAGATGCCGGGATTTGCTGAAAACTTGTGACAGTTTTTTTCATCGCAACTAATATGTCCTATCCTTCGAGTTGCCACATCATTTTCTGCGATGCCAGTCTTTCACGAGATATTTGATGAGTGCTTTTTCTTATTCAATGATGACTCAAGGTATTTTCAAAATTGTCTTTAAAATTGTATAATGTTCTTTCAAGTTGCTTCAAACCATTATTTTTGAGAAATTTATGCCAGTCTTTCACGAGATATGTAGAGAATATCTATACGCATTTGAACGACAACCAACGGCGTGCTCCTCATAATCAAATAAGTTTTCAGAGTGTACAGAATATCGGTTCCGCTGTGATGCTAATGCGCAGTTCTTCAAATTTAACTTGGCACATGCATGGACATGCTAGTGAAAGCTCAGGTGCTTTCCACTAGACAAAACGTTTAGAAATCAGAGGCAAAGCTGTGGAAGATTTGAGGTCTCCATTGCCAAATTCGGATTTAAAAATTTGAGAAGAGCTGAAGTGGACACTTGGTTTTGATAAGCTAAAAACAAAAAATTGTCAAATATTTTGCAAAAAGATGCAGTTTTGTCGCGAACTTCGACAGCGGTAAGTTTCAGCTCAAGCAAAACATTGTCAGTTACTTTGTCCAATGGTGTGGGGCGGAAGTTTGGATAACTGACTATGTACGATAGCTTACGCCAACCTATAGTTTAGCACTCACTATGAGCAAAACTCGGCACATCGTAAGCCTAGAACTCCATACGGAGTACAAATT